ATTATTATCATTGTTATTACATACTATATTGCAAAGGGCCGTTCACTGTTCAAGATTTACAATTTTTCGATTCAATGTGTTTACCTTCAACCCGGGCCATTTAGTTGTTTACTAAACAGTCGCTACGGTAATGCGTTTCAACTTTGTGAACTTCTCTCTTCCTTGTGCACTTTGCCAAGCGTAAGCTGTCACCTGATTGCTTTAGTGGCACCTTACACTGCTTGGACCGGAACTGCCCTCTGAGCACTGATCAAGGAGAAAGTCCTTGGCACCGAGAGTTTCTTGACAGGGGACACAAACTCGATTCGACCAATCAGGTCTCTTGTCCGATCAGGATTTGCTAAATAGGCCTTCCTGTCGTAGAGAGTGCGCATTGAACAGGGCTGTCAGATTGGATGAGCAGAAGTAGAGCTAACTTTTTGAAAGGTCAACGGTGATGTATTTTGAACTTAATTTTCGGTAGTGATTGGTGCTAGATTTTTTAAGAGCGTTTAAACACTAAGATATTGCTCTTCCCTTTTTTGAAAAAGGAGATAATGTAGAAGACGGCTGAAAATATCATACATTGTATTATCATTATTTTCTATGGGCGATGACGTTGCACTTTTACATAGCTGAAGGCCTATTTGTTTATTCTTACAGACAGGCGATACGTTTGAGCTGCATTTACGTTCCAGTCTAGATCAGCAATAGATCTATTCAAGCTCTAAGCTTTTTATAGATATTATGAAAGCCCAGTTTAAGGGTACAGGGATAATGCTACCCTAGCATTGAACTGCAAATATCTTCCTTCTTTCGTTTTTATTTTTATTTTGGTTCTATTTAGATTATCATTATTTTCACCACCTACCCACTTTTGAAAACAAGGCTGCAATAAATCCCACCCTTAAAAAAAACAACAATAAGAAACACAAAACAAATTTTTTTAACACACAGCTATAAAATGAAACGATATAACTCTGGCATTATTAACTTTTCATTGCTGTCGTTTTCTGATCACCACCATAGAGCTGGTTTCTGTTTTTGCGTAAGTCACCAATTTTATAGGTAATAAACCTTTAGACCAACTATTTTATTTCACTATTTTCGTATTATAATAGACAAACGCCTACAACCTACTATGTCATCAGCAAGTATATTCCACTTATACTTGAATGATTTCCTGTTTGCCTTCTGAAGTCAGATTTATATTGTCTATATATTATCTTGAGCTGAATTCGAAGTTATTAAACCGGTTCTCCCATTTCGTCCCCCCCCCCCCCTAAGAAAAAGCCGCCTTAATTCTTGAGTCACTCCTAACTTAACGAGTAAAACGTTTACAGAAGAAAAAAAAACATCACCAAAATAAGTCGAAAACAAAATTTAATGCAACCCTGCAGACTGTTTTCTCCCACGCTGCCACAAAGCAGCAATGCAATGAGAGGACAAGGCGGAATAATATTATTATCCTTCTTTCTGGTTGACATTTGCACAAGACCGCTTTGTCCTTGTAGTGATTATACTAGCGCACACATAGTCGGAGACCAAGAACAGTGCAGAATGTACTAGAACAACTGCTCGTGTTTGTGTGTTTGGTTTTGCTTCTTTGGTGACTCTTGGAAGCAACCCCTTATTGCTCTTTCTACCGCCGGCTTTTCTTTTGTTCTTTCTTAGAGAGAGAGAGAGAGAGAGAGAGAGAGAGAGAGAGAGAGAGAGAGAGAGAGAGAGAGAGAGAATGAGAGAGAGAGAGATCCTTTCTCCAGCTAATCTTGTTTTGATAGTGCCCACTTTTTCAACTTAGATTTATATGGTTCTGTCTCTCCATCATGTTATTCCTGTCCTCTTGTCTCTACGTCTCTAATCTTTATCTGTCTTCCACCTCCCCCCCTCTCTCTCTCTCTTTCAGTCTTCCTCTCTTTCTCTCTCTAATTCTCACTCTTTTCTCCCCTCCCCGCCCTGGTCTCTTTTTTCTTCCCCTTCCACAACTTTACGTTCACTGAAAAATATTAGCAGTATAGCAAACTTCACTCTTTCCTCTCAAATTGCCATTGATCAAACTTGTACAGTGCCTCCCACATTTTACTTCACAAAACAGAAATTGGATGACCTCTCTTCGTCTCTTGGCTGCGTTTTCTGCAGTCAACCACCTCCATCCGCTTTCTCTTTTTACCAGTGTCTGGAGTGCAATTAATTGTTTGGATCTTTGCTGTTGTACGCACATGAATTTGTTAGATCTTTCTACTTTGTTTGAAGTACATTCTGCTCGCAAAGAATATCTGGACATCTGGAGGTGTCGTCTCTAGCTCAGAGGTCGACGTGCAATGGCCCGTCAAAGCTTAGGTTGCAAACTGCTGTTTTACACTTTTTCATACCTAATTAAGCAAGTCCAAGTCTTGATGCTATCAGTCCACGTTGTTTTTTGTCCACTCTTGGTCTGTTTTGCCCAACTTCGAGTACTTCCTTCACAATGGTCTGATAGTGTTTTACGTGACCAAAGAAGAAATATCACACTCATACTGTTTACTGGGTTGGCCTTGATAGACATTTTAATAATAATAATAATGATAATAATGGTACTACTACTACTACTACTACTACTACTACTACTACTACTACTACTACTACTA